CGTGTTCTTCGTCACTTCATTGTGAGTGCTTGCCTAGTCTACTACAATTGTTCGTCGTCTGGACTGGTGTCCTTTGGTCCGAACGTTTGGTTCTTCCGCTGTGTGCACGTGGAAACGTAGCGTTTTGTCAAATACGTGCGACCCATCCCGATTCCTACCTCGGAACGGGCGACTGAAGCGGGCACAAGGCTAACGAGTTGGGACATTGCCTTCGCATGTCAAAACCGTTCTCACGTCCGTCGTGCACCTCTTATTCTGTACTCTTCAAGGCAAAGACGTAGTTTTACGTGGTCATGAGCTATATTATATCGCTAAATATACCGTATTGCGGACGGAGTGAAAAAAAAACAAGTACAACTTCCTAGATTAATTGAATAGCTCAAAACAGAGCCGTCGAAGCAATAGATAGACCCACTAGCCAAAACGAGTGGCAACCGAGTTTGCGTAAGGCTGATTGCAATGTACACATCCGTCGGTACACGACGTCGCGTTGCCACCTCTCTCTGCCCCATTTCGCCTCCATTAGTGGTACTCTTTCCTACTGTCCTGCGATGAATGGTGTGACACAGGTTTGAGGTGCTACAGTGTCTCTGTGACTAGATTATATGTCTTGACGATAACGAGTGTTACTGCTTCCGTGATACTCGAATATCCAGGTATGCGATTGTCTTCTCAAAGCTCATGCCACCGATGGGCCACCCACTGCTGGACGCCGTCCGAGAGGATTCCCACTACTGCTACCTCGTGCCGCTCACGATTTATCCATCTTGCGCGGCACTTTACATGAGCTGGGTCAGCCTTAAGTTCTTCCGACATAATTGATCCCTAACTAAAATGTGGAGAGTGCGGACCATAGAGGGAACGGATGTATAAACAGCAGGACCATGAACTAGCGCCTCCTGGTTGTGTAGACGTTGGAGGACGATTTTCAGCTGCTTGGGGCTAATGTTCCTTGTAAAAATTGAAGTTGAGGTTGAAATTGGGTGAGTATTGGCCTTATGAGCGGTTATTGAAGGACAGATGTGCAAAGAAGGGCGCGATATTTTCCGAAGTTGAGATACCATCAAGGAAGACGAAGGGGATTCGCGCGTGCAGGAATATTGATCATTTCGAAATCTCTCCCAACAGAGCGAAACACCAGATCAAGCGATCTTCAACACTTGAAGCATCGTGGCGCTGTGCTTGCTGCCTGCTAAGTGTGGCAATTGCGTACAAGAGGTTTACGTGAATTGGAACTAAGGACCGCCGTGGTTGAAACGTGCCGCGTCACTTTGAAGCATCAAGTCGTCGTATAAGGGTAATACCTCGGAGGGTGTAAGCCTCTGGTTCGAAGTTGAATGAAATGGAAACTCCTGGATGTTTTGGGTTTCATCGATGCAGTGACAGCTTACAGCATGAGAGTAGCATGGTGAGTTCGTATTCCCGCAAGCTCCCGAGGCGAAATGATTGAATGTACATGCCGAAACCACTTGGTTTGGGGTACAGTTGAGAGCCGCCATTCTTCAGGCAGGCCTTTGCAGCCCCCGCGCGGTGCGTAGCAAGCATCGATCCGTGTGTTGCTCTGGCGAGAGATTCTTGCCACCATCGAGTACTTCAGCGCACCTCACCTTTCATTTCACGCATCACACTGGTGACTTGAGTAGTGCTCACGGCTCTCGCCATCCTTTATTGGGCTGAGGCCGGTTCCAAAGCGCACCGAATTTAGTCGCGAACCCTTGTTTCGAAAACGGCGGGCACCCAGAATTTGTTGGATCAGCTGTCTTGCATCCTCGATGCAAGCACTCCGCAACCGGAGCTTGAACCAGCCTCGAGGTCGCGACGACGCCTTTCTTGTGGTCAAGTTAAAACGCTGGGTACCCCCAACATTCAAATTTCACGCGTTTCCTCGGTTTCTGGGAAGAGTGCATCCTCGTGGGGTACCCTTAGGCGTTTCGCAGAATGTACCACCGCCGGTTAAGAGTCCGCGCGAAACGCGCGGCGATCTGTGTGCGTTCCTGTGCAAGAGTTGAGTGCGAGAGGCGTGGGCAAACGACCAGCCTTCATAAACAACAGCGGTGAGGCAAGTTGCACAGGACTCCTTCTCAGCAGGATGGCATGGTTGGATACGCCCCCCCGTACACAACACACCCTGGGCAATACGAGATATGTAATACATATTGTTGAGGTTACTATAATAGTCCCTGTCGGAGACAGAGGCCATTACTCTTGCAGTATTCTCCCACTGCCAAGGGTGGCTATTTCTTTCGTGAGATGTAAACGAGAAGAAGGTAGAAAGAGAGAGTGGCCAGAGAGAGCAGAAGGAGAGGAGAGTCGAAGACTCTCCGCTTGTTCTCTCGGCAAGTGGCCAGGGACTTCGGAAGAGACAAATCTCCGACGGTGCGTTTCTTGTCACCCTCCCAGTGACAAGATACCCCGATGGAGCTATATCTTCCTACACTTTGTATGTGTACACATGGTTGGTTGTACTCCCGACAGGTGTCCTCCACATCACCCCCTCCTCTATGCGCCACAAGTCCATCCGTGCTAAAAATGTGCGTTTGGCGGCCAGATATATGAGTGGCTCATGGAGGCGCATGTATCGGAGTTAACCTACCTGGTGCAACATCATCAGCTCGGCCTGATCATCGTACAACGCTTGTTAAAAAACACGGAGTCTTCAGACGGAGTAATGATAGATGTGGTCCATACTAGTATAGTCTAGAAAAAAAAATGAAGTTCGCATGATCATGCCCGCGTAGCATGCTATGCTATGGGGTCGATGAGGGATAAACTTTTAATGAGATGACCCTCCGGCAAGTTTGTCTATTCATCATAATTAAAATCCTGATGAGAGATAGACTATTAATGAGGTGACCCTCCGGCAAGTCTGTCTATTCATCATAACATAAGATTGCGATGAGGGATAAATTTGTAATGAGGTGACCCTCTGGCAAGTTTATCTATTCATTAAAGATTAGATCTTGATGAGGGATGAACTTGTAATGAGGTGACCCTCTGGCAAATTTATCTATTAATCAAAATTAAGATCTTGATGAGGGATGAACTTGTAATGAGGTGACCCTCTGGCAAGTTTATCTATTCATCAAAAATAAGATCTTGATGAGGGATGAACTTGTAATGAGGTGACCATCTGGCAACTTTATGTATTCATCTAAAATAAGATCTTGATGAGGGATGAACTTGTAATGGGGTGATCCTCTGGCAACTTTATGTATTCATCTAAAATAAGATTATGATGAGTGATGAACTTGTAATGAGGTGACCCTCTGGCAAGTTTATCTATTCATAAAAAAAAAGATCTTGGGCTTGCGGTGGTTTAGTTCAACTCTCCTCGCCAGTGTTCCCCCAAACACTTAGTAAATACAATAGGTTGTTTCCAATGGATACAACCAACCACCGTGGCTACTGGTCCTGTGCTAAAAATAGCACAGAATAGTAGTAGAAAATGTCCGAAGTTTCGGAACAGATAGACATGGCAACTGTTAGGAACGACAGAATACATCAATCGTTTAATTTCCGGCCCCGAGTTCGTTTTCGGTTGCTAGTACGGCAGGGTAATTGAGTATCACTTTGTGTCGTAGCAGAACGCGACTTGGGTAATGGAACATCCTTTAGGCGCCTTCGTCGTCGTTTCCTGGTTTTGTTCAATGGCTCCGAGCCACTTGGCGTAACCAATTTTCGACTTGAAGGTTCTTGAGAAGTAGTTGCCTGTTTTCGTTTTCGTTTCCCTGTTTTACTGGGTGATATTGGATCTCCCTGTTCCACTGGGGCACGCGACGAAGGTTTATCAGACTGCGCGATGTCCAAACCACAATGGATTCGGTAGGCAGTTATCATTTCTTGACATTGTGGAATTTCGTCTGCTCTATTTTGAAGGTCTGACTCAGGGCCGTATCCTCGAAGACGCAAACGATACGTACGTGTAGTTGTACGGGGTTTTCGGCCCCCTACCACTCTTATGGCTTACCACTTTGCCAACGACGTAGGATTCCATTTTCGGTTGAGCTTCGTCGGGATGGTCTAGCTCGGGCAACGGAATCTGGCGTCCTAAGAAGAACTCGGAAAGTTTATCAAAATCTGGCGCAGGTGGCGTTTTCCTCGCGTAGCACCGTTTTATGTGGGCTAACTGGACCGAAACTTCACGAGTTTCGTTCTGGCGTCTCACTCTATATACCACCGGTGATAATTTAGAGCAGATGGCGTAAGGTCCTCTCCACGTTGACAATAATTTCGGATTTGGTCCATCCGAATCCTGGTATGGGGGGTACACAAGTACTACTAGATCACCAAGTTTGAACACAGGGATAGGGCGCGGTTTAGCGTTCTTGGCAGCTTGTTTTTGTGTGCGTTCCGGTAGGTTACGGCGCGCTATTTCAAAAGCAACCTGTCATTTTTCCTGTGTAGTTTTAGAGAATTCCTCGGTATTTGCTGTTGTTCCCACATGAGGGATGCCGAGAATAATGTCAACTGGTAGACGTGGCTTCCGTCCAAACATAAGAAAGAATGGTGTTTCATGCATGGTCGAGCTAAAAGATGTGTTGTAAGCCAGTTGGACAAAAGGCAGCACTGATGCCCAGTTATCGTGGTTCATGGAACTATGCATGGCAAGCATTGCGTGCATGGTAGCATGTACTCGTTCTGANTGCATGGTGGAGCTAAATGACGTGTTGTAAGCCAGTTGGACAAAAGGCAGCAGTGATGCCCAGTTATCGCGGTTCATGGAACTATGCATGGCAAGCATTGCGTGCATGGTAGCATGTACTCGTTCTGAAACAGAATTACCTTGCGGACGGTATGGTGTCGTGCGGGTTTTTTATAGTTCAGAATACGCTGTAGTTGCTGGACTAAACACTGTTCTCAAATTCAGGTCCTTGGTCGGAATGCAACATTTCAGGCGATCCAAAGATGCTGATGATGCGGTCGAAAATGGCCGGCGCGACAGTGATTTTGTTGGGAATCGGAGTCAGCACGGTGAATCGGGTTAGGTGGTCCATCATGGATAGGACATATATGCACCGTACCCCGGCGGCTGAAACTAATTCTACTTGATATTCAACTAGGTCAACCGAAATGCGTTCGAACGGTCTTTGTACTGGTACATGTCCCGTTGGTAATTTGTTTCGATTATGGGCTGTTTTTCGACGTTGACAGGCTTGGCATTCTTCACACCAAGTATGGACGTCCCGATTCATGGTCNTCTTTGTACTGGTACATGTCCCGTTGGTAATTTGTTTCGATTGTGGGCTGTTTTTCGACGTTGACAAGCTTGGCATTGTTCACACCAAGTACGGACGTCCCGATTCATGGTTGGCCACCAGTATTTCTGGCGGATCTTCTCATAAGTCGGTCTAGACGCTAAGTGGCCTCCAGATAATACGTGGTCGTGATAGGCGTGCAGCACTAGTCCGGTAAGGGCCTGACTGAGGCAACACTAATTGGTCACTAAACGTACTACGTTTCCGGAGGTAGCCTGGTAAATACGTTTTAAACAACAATCCATCACGCACAAAGTAGTATGACATGGCAGTGGTTGTCTCGTTATCAGGTAATTGGGCGCCAGTGTTTGTAAGGTAGTCGACATAGGTGCCATATTCAAGCGCATGTTTCTCACGCAAGATATCGCGGTTAACAGTTTCAAATACGTTGGTCGCGCTAATATAAACTGATTTCTCAGCGAATACTTGGCGATCACTTTGAACTGGTCGCAAGTTATCCAAACGATCTGCAGATACTTGGTACGGACGTGGTGGGACATTTGTATGCAGTGCAGGGTCATCAGGCACATTCCTGCATATCGGTGCAAGTTGCGGTGCTTCCAACTGTTTTCCAACTGTTGTTGGTGATCGAACGCAAACAACCGAGATAGGGTGTCTGGGACTTTCCGAGATAGGGTGTCTGGGCAGCCAGCAGCCGCCGAACCAGGCGGGGACTTGAGGGGTAGCATCCGCGGCCGCCGCGGGTACCGCTGCTATTCCGGCTTGGAGGGCAGGAGGTGCGTGTGCAGGCACCCTCTCTGCAGCAGCCGCAATCTGCCCAGGGGCTTGTGAGGTAGATGCTGTCGCAATTGCCGCCGGTGCTGTCGCGACGACTCCGGCGTGAGGAGCAGGGGGTGCGGATGTAAACACCCTCCCTGCCGCAGCCGCTGATTGCCCAGGCGGGAAGGAGGAAGATGAGGTCGCCATTTCCGCCGGTGCTATCTCCAAGACTCCGACTGGGACCGCAGGAAGTGCGGGTGCCTGCGCCGGAACTGACGCAGCCGCTGTCTGCCCGACTTGACCAGCTAATTTCCGCTGGTTCTCCATGTAAGCTGCTGTAAACGCTGCCACCATCGGAGAAGGGGCAGAAGCGGCGGCTGCTGCCGTCGCCGTCGCCGCCGTTACCTGGTCAGCATGGGAAACGCTGAGCTGGGGCGAAGTTGATCCCGAAGCTNGCCTGCGCCGGAACTGACGCAGCCGCTGTCTGCCCGACTTGACCAGCTAATTTCCGCTGGTTCTCCATGTAAGCTGCTGTAAACGCTGCCACCATCGGAGAAGGGGCAGAAGCGGCGGCTGCTGCCGTCGCCGTCGCCGCCGTTACCTGGTCAGCATGGGAAACGCTGAGCTGGGGCGAAGTTGATCCCGAAGCTTCCGTCGGGGACACACGTCCTGGTAGTATTTGCTGTTGCCCAGTTGCGTTGTAGTACGGCGGCTGCCGCTGTACACTGCCATGCTGTTGTTGGTGTACGCCCATGGAATGAAGATACGGCGGTTGCGCAGCCTGGCTGCTGCTGTGGTGAGAGGCAGGAAGCACAAGCGTGGGGTCATTACCCCCATGTCCAACAGGGCTCACCGCTCTCTGCCGTGGCGGTTGGCCCCCGGTCACGGCCTCCTCCGCATGGCGCTTGCCGAGGACCTTCGTGGAGCTTGAAAATTTCAAGGTTGCCAGGGGAGCTCATGATCTACCGAGTGTGTACGCTGTCTCCAGGAGGGCGGCGATGTTGTACAGGGTGTGCGGTGGCGCTTGGTGGGGGGCGTGCGTACTCTTCGCTAGAGCGGTTCAGGTGCTGTGCCGTGCGTAAGCTAACCGGAGGGGTGAGGGCTCGAGACAAGAAGAACTTCATGGAGGGTAGGGCAGCATACGTTTTCAGCCGTGGGGTAGTTGGACTTCTCGCCTTGGCGGGCTAGGCGGGACCTCCTGCCCCTGAAGCTGCGTCATTTTCGGCGGCTGCGCCGCGGGCGCAAGAGGCGGCAGCCCCTACCCATGGGGTTGGAGCACCGGCGGCAAGCGGCGTGGTACAAGAAGTGGGCGTCACCGTTGCCGACGGCGGTGCAACGAACCAAAGTGCGAGGGGACAGATGAACTTGGTATACAAGGGCATGTTGTTCGAGGCCCTCCTGGAGAAGGTGAGGGATTCGCACCGGCTCTGCCAAAGAGGGGCGAAATTCACATGGAAGACGAGAGCGGTGGACTATATTACCGAGCGAAAACCCCTGTTCGAGCCCGTCCGAAAGAAGTGGCTGCAGCTGCCTCAGGAGGCGAGGATGCAGGTGCGCCAACTAACTGGACACCCCGTTCCCGACGGAGCCCACCTTTTGGTACCGGTTCAACGAATGCAGGACGGCCTACCACAAACACAGGCGAACGTAAGCAACGTTTTTATTATTGTCCCAGACTATTCATATTGTATTTTTTTCTGTCGTTTGACGCAAAATTGAAGTAGCTTATACAAGGAGCATGTCGCGTCGTTGCGGTTAGTGGGCATGCGAGGTCATCCGCATTTACAACCGTAAAGTCTGTCTGGGGATAGAGTGATTTTGACGAGGCTCCATATTTGGGATACGGTTACGGTTCCAACTAAAATTCCCACCGCAGAAATTTGTCCCGGCGAGGAGAAGTAAAGGAAAACGAATCTCCGTGCACCTTTCCGGGCACATGCAGGCTCCGGTATCCATACCATCGCGTTAACTTACCTGCTGAGACTCTTGCACGCGGGATGTTTGCGAATTGATGTGAGGCACACAAAGAACACTAAATAGCACAACCTCCTTATGGGGCACCGTCATCACGTTGTCCTCTCTCCTATTGCCGTGATCTGACCCACATGTCTCATGTGACTTTCTTTTTTCGGAACGAAGGTAGCCAGATCCAGTTTGTAAGTTTCATGCGTTTCTGTTGCCCACTCTATTAACAACGGTTGTCCACGAGTATCGAGTGCAACGAGACCGGACACGTATGAATACTTCTGCCATGTATTTGCCTGCGGTCGTCCTTCTCTACTCCTCCGTTTGTAAAGGCCGAAAGTCAACGATAAAGGCCGATTCTGAACTGTCTTCTCCCCGGGTGTTCGAATCAATCCTCAAGCTCATGGAGTCCTCCTCCAACAACGGCAGCGGCGATGCGGCCAGAGATGACGCTACCGACAGAGCACAGCAGGTCAAAGCCGAGAGGGTGAGATGAAGAACGATTGACCTAGTCGACGGCATGTATCCGATAGGGTTAGACCGTCATACAGCGAGAGGACGGAAGGCCACGTCGGACAGTCTTCGATGTTGCGTTGGTGGTGCTGTCACACAGTGAGGGAGTTAGGCGTCGGTTGGGACGGCGCGACAAGCCTTTGGGGGTTGGATATCCCCTCGAATTCCGCTTGTAGGCCATGCTTGTAGCACCGAGAGTATGGCACTACCACCAACAACATATTCGCCTGATTGAGAGCGAAGTATCTGATTGAGAGCGAGAGCCAAAAAAAATGAAATTTCGGGTCCAGACGCCTCTTTCCATTTCTTGGCAAGTAGGGGACGGGCTATTCCAAGAAGCGGTGCAAATTGAAGGTCTCATCAGCAGCTTCGCGAGCATATGCGTGTCATCGTCATCGGATGCTGCAGCGAGGAGCTAGACAAGTTGCTAGATTTGCCCAGATTGGCTATTTCTGCTCAAACTGTTTCAGGGCGGTATCGCGTCGGGCGGTGGGCTCTGCTGTAGCTTCTGCTCCCCGCTGTAGCTCCACAACGAGAGACTCCCACAGGATGACCAGGGTAGCGGCTTGAAGCTACGGGCTAGCCCTTCAATTCAAGCTACACAGCAAGCTCCACCTCTCAGTGGTAGTCCGGCTACAGCGTATCGCGCAATCTCGCTCTCAATCAGATGCTACGCTCTCAATCAGGCGAATATGTTGTTCACCATGAATCGTAACCCCATGTCTGCCATGTTACGAATGTTTCATTATTTGGTGACACAGCGCGTCAAACGCTCGTATTTTCGCGGTTGCGCCATCACTCATGGTTCCGGCTCGATAACGTGGTCGGATTTTCAAGAACTCACAACACAACCCGAATTACCCCACCCCCGACCCTTCAGGAAACTGCTGAGAAGCGTCGAACACGGACAGGTAGACGTATAAGCAGCAGGGGACAGGGAGCTTGAAGGGTGGGAGTCCATAGTGAACGCAACGGCAGAGAGAGTAGTGGGAAAGAAGGTGGTACGATGTGGGGTATCCGTTAAGTGGTGGGATGGCGAGCTGAAAGAAGAAAAAGGGGAACGTAGAGAAGTCTTCAAGCAGTACCTGAGTGAGGCGTCTGAGGAGAGTTGGGCAAAGTACAGGGCCAAGAGAAAATAGGTGAAGGGACTGGTGAAAACGAAGTAGTGCAGAAGGCCAACGGAGGCCTGTAGGGGAACGTCAAGCAGATGTGGGAGAAGACAGGTGAAGGGACTGGTGATTAAGAAGAAAAAGTGTATTTGGAACGAAGTAGTGCAGAAGGCCAACGGAGGCCTGTAGGGGAACGTCAAGCAGATGTGGGAGAAGACAGGTGAAGGGACTGGTGATTAAGAAGAAAAAGTGTATTTGGAACGAAGTAGTGCAGAAGGCCAACGGAGGCCTGTAGGGGAACGTCAAGCAGATGTGGGAGAAGACAGGTGAAGGGACTGGTGATTAAGAAGAAAAAGTGTATTTGGAACGAAGTAGTGCAGAAGGCCAACGGAGGCCTGTAGGGGAACGTCAAGCAGATGTGGGAGAAGACAGGTGAAGGGACTGGTGATTAAGAAGAAAAAGTGTATTTGGAACGAAGTAGTGCAGAAGGCCAACGGAGGCCTGTAGGGGAACGTCAAGCAGATGTGGGAGAAGACAGGTGAAGGGACTGGTGATTAAGAAGAAAAAGTGTATTTGGAACGAAGTAGTGCAGAAGGCCAACGGAGGCCTGTAGGGGAACGTCAAGCAGATGTGGGAGAAGACAGGTGAAGGGACTGGTGATTAAGAAGAAAAAGTGTATTTGGAACGAAGTAGTGCAGAAGGCCAACGGAGGCCTGGAGGGGAACGTCAAGCAGATGTGGGAAGGGATTAGTGGATTGGTAGAAAAGGCCGCGCAAGGGGGGATACAGGGGTAGCAACTTTGCGAGGTGTGAACGGTGGATTAGTCAGCAGTGGGGAGGGAAAAAAGGAACTTCTAGCAGGACACTGCAAGAGACTTGGAGTGCCCTCGGAGAATGAAAATTTTGACCAAGTGTTGAAGAAAGAGGTGGACGCATGATCCCAGAAAGAAGAGACGTCGAAGGCAGACGTTGGGAACGTAGAACTAGAAAAGGAGTTCACTGAGGACGAGGTTGAGGCGTGTGTGAACAAGCTGAAGTGCCACAAAGCAGCAGGAGCGGATGGGATAGTCAACGAGTTCATGAAGTTTGGGGGGAAGGGGATGATCCAGCTGATGGTACTGCTATACAATTGGGTGTGGAAAAACGAGTATACGCCAAGTAGATGGAGGGAAGGAGTGGTTGTGAACTTGTTTAAGAAAGGAGACAAGACTGACCCAGGAAACTACCGGGGGATCACACTGTTGAACACAGCAAGGACAG